GTAATTATTTATTTATTTATGTGGTGGGGGCATGTGCATGCCACAGTTTGTGTGGAGGTCAGAGACCACCTTTTGGGGGGAGGTCTCTCAGTCCTAGGGGTCAAACTTAGGCATAGTGGCAAGTGCCTTTACTTAGATCATTTCCCTGACTCTCTTGTCCTCCTTCTCCTCCTCTTTAAATAAAACTCAAATACTAAATAGAAAAAAAAAAAAACTCCAAAATACTGTAAAGTTGAAAGAACAGAGCACAAAGACCCTCAGCCTGCCTTCACCCATTGCACGTATTTTCTGTTTGTTCTACAAGCGCAATGCGCACACACTTTCTGCATTTTTTTTCACCATTTGAAGTAAGACAGTAATATCGTGGTATCTTCTGCACAGTCCACAAACATCCCGCCCAGGAAATGGGTGTTTAACTCTAATAATGTTTCACAGTATCCAGGCGCTAATCATATTTTTTTGGTGCGCGCGCGCGCGTGTGTGTGTGTATTTGAGATCGTGTGTGTGTGTGTGTGTGTGTGTGTGTGTGTATTTGAGATCCTGTCTCCAAAACACCAGAAAAAATGGGATACGTGAGACGTAATCTCAATAAAATAAAGTTAGGCATGGTGGATAACTCCAGCACTGAATAGTAGGCGCAGGAAGATCAGTGTTTGAAAGTTATCCTTGAGAGGGTAAAGTTGTCCTCAGTGAGTAAAATGTTGTTTGATTCCTGTTAATGGGAATCTGCCACTGCCGAATCCATAAATCCAGGTTTATTCTGAGCACAGCATTCCTGTGGGCCCAGAGGAAGTTGAGAGCATAAGGGGAACCCACAAAGTGGGGCCTTTTAACGCCTTTGGGGGTTCTCCGGTGGAGTATGGAATGAAGCTACTCCAGGGGAGGGGCTTGGTGTGGAGCCCTCACCCGAACATAAGGGTGCTTGCTGTGCCTGCCTGGCAACCTGAGTTCAATCCCCAGAACCCACAAAAAGGTGGAAGGGGAGACCCTATTCCTCGAAGTTATCCTCTGCCCCCCTCCTGCATGCTCTTCCCCATGATGAGTAATTTTTATTTTATTATTTATTTATTTTCCTTCACCTGTTTTGTTTAGTGACAACATTTCCTGGCAGTCTGCTCTACCTGTGTTGCTCTACCATGCCATATTGGTATCACCCCCACCTCTGCCCCCCACCCGTGTCCTGGGGTTCCCTGCACCAACACATTTGGAGTCCTATTGTAAGACAGCTCTCTGACCTGCTATCTACTGGCTCTGCCTCCAGGCTCCGAACTCAGCTGTCACTCACTGGGAACTCAGTGCCCCAGTGGGTGGTTGGAACATGAGAATGCAGTTCTAACTGCTTTGGGGCGGAGATCTGAGGTCAAGGTTGTGGTAGGCTGGCTTCCCCTGTACCCCAGAATGGACCTGCAGGCCTTCCTCACCCTCTGTTCTGATGGCTGTCCTCTGTGTGTCTGATGTTATCTCTCTCTCTTTTTTTTTACTAGACAAAGATTGTAACACTGACCTACAACCCCAACTTTTTTACTTTGAGATGGGAGGGTGTCTCACTAAGATGTCCTGACTAGCCTTGGACTCATTCTTTAACCCAAGGCAGGCCTTGAACTTGCAATCTCCCTGCCTGTTTGAGAGCACAGAGGTCCTTGTGCTCACAGATAGCACAGGAATGTTAAACATACAGGGTTGTCTTTTTCAAGGGAAAAGATGTACAACCTGTTTTCCATTCAGAGGGCTGGGAATGGAGGCGACTATAGCTTAGGTAACCCCTGTGTTATCTCTGGAGCCAGGCCATACCTGGCTCCCCGCAGGCTTCCACATCCAGGACCTGAGGTGGCTAATAGTCTAGATGACCTCTGCACTATCTGTATGGCCAGGGACTCCCCCAGGCTCTCACAAACAGGACCGGAGGTGGCTGATAGCCCAGATGACTTCTGTGCTATCTGTATGATAGAGTCCAGGCCAGATCCTCCACTCGGCCCATAAGATGACACATGTAGCCTGGATCTAGAGCTCGTCTTCATGGGAGAAGTGACATGAACTTTGAGGAGCGTTTTTGATGTAATTTTGCCTCCCTGTGCACACATGGGATTGTGTTACACCAGAAAACCGAATTGTGATGTGTGTTATGCCCAAATTCGCAATCCCCGCAAGCCGACAAGGAAACCAAGAGTCCTGTATGTAAAAGCAAAGAGCCTTGATTTTAATCAAGTTTTCAAACTCCCTCTCTCGTATTGGAATAACCAGAGAGCCCCCAGCTCAATTAGAATAGGGTTTTATAGTAGTAAATGTGGGGGTGAGTCAATCGTAAACAATTGAGACTCCAGCCTCCACTGATTCACTGATGGCCAGAGTTGGAGGAAGTAAAGAACTTCCTTTGGGTGACCTGCCCAGACTTAGATTATCTGGCTGGCCCTCACACTGTGCTTAAGTGTGTCAGAATAAACCGCCTGGGGCCAGGCTCTGAACTGCTGAGTCCTGTTGAATGAGATTTCCTTCTTGCCTCATTCGGGGTCATTACTCTGCCAGTCCTGGTGCTTGCATAGACGACCCCCCCAGCACACACACATACACACACGTACACGTACACACACACAGTCTCGGCCTCCTGGTGCTTGCATAGACGACCCCCCCAACACACACACATACACACACGTACACGTACACACACACAGTCTCGGCCTCCTGGTGCTTGCATAGACAACCCCCCCAACACACACACATACACACACGTACACGTACACACACACAGTCTCGGCCTCCTGAGTAGCTGGGGTGACAAGCCCGTCTCACTGCACTAGGAGAGATGGCTCAGAGGTTAAGAGCATTGCCTGCTCTTCCAGAGGTCCTGAGTTCGGTTCCCGGCAACCACATGGTGGCTTACAACCATCTGTAATGAGGTCTGGTGCCCTCTTCTGGTCTGCAGACATACACACAGACAGAATATTGTATACATAATAAATAAATAAATATTTAAAAAAAAACAACCTCTGCACTAGTAGACTTGGCCTACTGTAGTGGTCTCATTGTAGTCAAATTACCTCTTTAAAGACCCTGTCTACAGAGTTTCTCTCACCGGGGACTAGGGGCTTCACAATTAAATTTAAGAGAACACAACTGAATCCTCTCATTTCCATAAAGTCTGTGGGTCTCCTTCCCTGTCTAGCTTTACCAGAGGAACCAGCATGTTCTCCAGCTGAAAGGGCAAGGGCTGGGACCTGCCCTGGTGTGTCCTCTTCCTCGTGGCCGGTTCACAGCCTGAGAAAGAACCTCTGGTCTGGATTTGTCCTCCCAGGAGCCCCTCCTTGCCACCTTGTCACTGGTCTGACTGGACAACTACAGAAGCCCCTGGGGTCCTGTCACTTGCTGTGGGCCAGGTGGCCATACTGAGCTTCTTCAGCTTCCTATGTTAAATCCTTTCCTGAACCCATTTTCCAGCTGGGAAAACCAAGGCCTGGAAGGTACAGCGTGAGCCAGAATGTCACTTACCCTAAAATAACTCCTGCATACTACTCCTGGACAACTGGCGCTGTCACACGGTGCTGCTGCCTGCCTGTGCTCCCCTCCTTCCTCTTTCCTTTCTTTCTTTTTTCTTTTTCTTTTTTTGGTTGGTTTGTTTGTTTGCTTGCTTGTTTGATTTTTTTTTTTTTTTTTGAAACAGGGTCTCACTATGCAAACTCTGTCCTGGAACTCATTAATGTATATGTAGGCCATGCTGGCTTTGAACTCACAGAGATCTGCCTGCCTCTGTTGCTTGAGTACTGGGATTACAGGCAAACACCGCTATGCTTGGCTTTTCATGTTTTCCTTTTCTAAGATTAAGTTTATTAAAGTGTGTGTGCGTGTGTGTGTGTGTGTGTGTGTGTGCATGTGCGCACTCGCACAACCACAGAGAGCGGAGAAAGGCTTCAGATCTCCATGGAGCTGGAGTTACAGTTTTGAACCCCCCTGTTTATGTGGCGACATCATGCGTGCTAGGAAAACATTATCCACTGATTTACATCTCCAGCCCTGGCTTTGAGATTTGTGCTAGGTGCATCTGATATCACTGTCCTGGTTAGTGTTAATACTGTGGTGATGCGGCACCACGACCTAAGTCAGGAGAGGAACTCAAGCAGGGCAGGAACCTGGATATAGGATGCAGAAAATGTAGAGGGTCCTGCTTACCGGCTTGCTCCCTGTGACATGCTCAGCCTGCTTTCTTATAACACCCAGGACCATCAGCCCAGGGATGGCACTATCAACAATGGGCTGGAACCTCATCCATCAATCACCAACTAAGAAAATGCCTTGCGCATGCCTTTAATCCCAGCACTCGGGAGGCAGAGGCAGGCGGATCTCTGTGAGTTCGAGACCAGCCTGGTCTACAGAGCTAGTTCCAGGACAGGCTCCAAAGCCGCAGAGAAACCCTTACTCGAAAAACCAAAAAAAAAAAAAAAAGAAAATGCCTTCCAGTGCCTTCCAGGCCTGCGTACCACCCTATTTCCTTGGAGGCATTTTCTCCTTTGAGACTTTTCTCTGGTGACACTAGCCAGCATGATCAATTATTCAAAAGAAAATAAGGAAATCAGGCAGTAAGTAGCACAATTTCTGATTTTCCGGTCTATTGGCTTTTCCGAATCACCTAGAGACCTAATGAAATTCTCGAGGTCACAGACAGAGCATGAACCCTTGCTGCGTGGTCTCAGATTTCAGAGTGGGTCCCTTAGAGAGTCAGCTGCCCTGGGAAGCATCTTGAGGGCAGACACTCCTAGGCAGAGGAAGTAGATACCCTGACTGAGAGCCACTCACCTTCACCCCAAGTGTTGCTCCTGTGTGTGGAGGGCGGGGGCGTCTTCCCGTTCTGCATGGCGGTGGGCCAGCTATCAACTTGACTCTAGACTGCCCATGAGGCAGCTCCTGATTTTTCTGTTGAGATGTCCTCTCCCAAGCTCACGCTTCGGTGCTTGACTGGTTTGAGAAGACAGTATGTTGGTCGGGTTCTTACTGTCCTCTCATCCCTACAGTTACTGTCCAGGCTGACTGAGCGGTTCGTGCAGGGCGTGGACATGTTCGTGGAGACAGTAGGGAAAGTTTGGATGGAGCTCTTGGAAGTCCTTGGACTTGATGGTAGGTATGGGGATGGCCACATGCAGTGTTGTGTGCTTGTTCTGATGCAATCTCACTGTGTAGTGAATCTCCCTGCACCCGACTGAGGGGACAGGAGTGTTAAGGGCACCACAGGAAGGAAGGAGCATTTTACCTTTAATAGCTGAACGTGTGGTCCACCAAGCTTCGAAGGCTGTGAAGATGATGGAGGCAGAGCCTGCAGTGATGATGATGTTATGGGCCATGGACCGACCACCTGGAGCCCCCCTGAAAGCCGAGAGAGGCCATAGGATGCTTCTAAGAGCTTTTGTCTAGGTGCGCTCAGAGCTGTGTTTCAGCATGGCCAAGACAAAGTCGGTAGAGAAAAAAGTATGAGTGGAGAGTCAGGGGAGACCATGCTTTGGGAGCGTGGTCCTGGACTTGGCCTTTTGGCCTCCGGAACTGGGAGAGAGGATGGATTTCACCATCTAAGCGTTGTCAGCCACCTGGTATATGGGGGCCAGAAAATGGATACAGCCTTGTAACAAGCCCCTCTCAGACTTCTCACTAGTCCTGGGCATCCCTTCTTTACAGATCTGGGGCCAGGGTTCAAAGTGGAGGCACGCTGTACAGGTGGGGCCCACACATTACCGCTTTTGTTAGTCCTCACTTCCGGCCTTGAATCACTGATTTCAACCCTCGAAGGGCTTCATGCCAGGCCATGCCACCTTGCTATTCAGATGGAGAATGGGAGGCAGGGGTGTGGCTCTCAGAGGATACTGTGCAGCACGCTGCCCCCAGGGCGGTTACAACCCTCCCTGGGACTGGAGCTGAGTCAACACATCAGCAAACACTGCAACTGTGTGCAATCCTGTGAGGCTGCCCCAGCCATCCCCTACTGGGATTGTGCAGTTCCAGGTTGCCATCCCTGGGCGGCGGGCCTGTAGAGATAAACTTGATTGCAAGGAATTGCATGCAGCTCAGGCTGGGAAACCGCAGAGCCAGACAGCTACAGGACACCAGGCATCACTGAGGAACCTAGGCCTGTTGCGATCAGCTGAGAGGAGCTGGATGGGGAGGTGAAATACCTTGTTTCTAGGGTGTGGGTTTCCCTCTTGACTTAGATAAGCTGCAGGGTACCCTAAGGTTTTTCAGAATTGTACCTCAAGCTTGAAGCAGGAGTGTGTGAGAGCTGCCTCTCCTGGAACCATAGTCAAGGTGGCTGTTCTTGGTCCCAAGCACTTTCTTTCCCCATCAGTTTTCAGGGTCTTCGTTACAAGGAAGACTCCTCCACTCGGATCAGTTTGATAGAAAGAAACTTTGAGGCATAAAGTAAGTTTTCTACGGTCACGTTACAGGGAAAAGTAATTGGTGAAGGCCAGGTGTGGTAGCGAATGCCTCTGATCCCAGCACTCAGGAGGCAGAGGCAGGCAGATCTCTTCAGTTTGAGGCCAGCCTGGTCTACAGAGTGAGTTCCAGGCCACCCAGGGCTATATGGGGAACCCTGTCTCAAAAAGCCAAAAGAAATTAATGAAATTTACCCTGCCATGCTGGCTCATGTTCCCAGTACTCAGAGGCAAGCAGATTTCTGAGTTCAAGGCCAGCCTGGTCTACCTGAGACCCCGCCCCGTCTCAAAGTTGTTGAAATCAATTTTACTGTTTCTGTTTTACTGTTATTTTTGGTTTTGTGGTTGTTGTTTTGCTTTGCTTTTGAGACAGGGTTCACCTGTACTCCACCCTATTCTCAAATTCACTACAATTGAAGCCAAGAATGACCTTGAGCTTCTTCTGATCCTCCTGCCTCAGCTTCCCAAGTACTGGGATAACAGATGCAAGCCACTCTGACTAGCCTGAGGAGATAGCTCATTGCAAACACAAGGACTCGAGCTCAAACCACAGCAACATTTTTATAAAAATATTTTTTTTGAGATTTACTGGTCACTTATTTTTGTGTGTGGCTGTTTTGTGCATGTATGTCTGTGCACCACATATGTGCAGTATCTGAGGACTTGTCTTCTGGAGCTGGAGTTCCAGGTGGTTGTGAACCACCCTGCGGTTGCTGGTAATTGAATTGGGTCCTCTGCAAGAGTGCTTTTTACCACTTTTTACCGCGGATCCGTCATCGCTCCAGCCTCACAGGTGTTTTTTTGTTTTGTTTTTTTTTTTTTTTTTGGTTTTTCGAGACAGGGTTTCTCTGTGGTTTTGGAGCCTGTCCTGGAACTAGCTCTTGTAGACCAGGCTGGTCTCGAACTCACAGAGATCCGCCTGCCTCTGCCTCCCGAGTGCTGGGATTAAAGGCGTGCGCCACCACCTCCCGGCCTCACAGGTGTTTTAAACTCATGACAAACAGTCCAGAGGGCCACCTGTGCTTCCTCTGATACTTGCAGGTTCAAGTGCTTGCTTTAATTGGCTTTCATTGTATTAGGTTGTGACAGGAGCCATTGGGTCCAGTCCCTGCGCTCAGCTGTCCCATCTGCTTTCAAAGAAGGTCCTGACCACGTGGGAATAACTGACCCTATCTTCTGTTCTGTTTCGTAGTGTCCAACCTGTCACAGTACTTCAGCCCAGCCTCCGTGTCCAACAGTCCCACCCGGGCCCTGGTGCTGGTTGGTGTGGTCCTCCTGGCCTACTGGTTCTTGTCTCTGACCTTGGGTTTCACCTTTAGCCTCCTGCACCTGGTGTTTGGTCGCTTCTTCTGGCTCGTACGTGTCATCCTGTTTTCCATGTCCTGTGTGTATATTCTGCATAAGTACGAGGGTGAGCCTGAGCACGCTGTGCTGCCGCTCTGCCTTGTCGTGGCCGTCTACTTTATGACGGGGCCCATGGGCTACTGGAGAGGCAGTCCCAGTGGCCTTGGCAGCCCCAGTGTAGAGGAGAAGCTGGAGCACCTGGAGAACCAGGTGAGATTGCTCAACATCCGCCTCAACAGGGTGCTGGAGAATCTTGACCACTCCAAGGACAAGTGAAGGTCAGTTGCCCGGACATCTAAGGGCACCAGCCATAGTGATGTCAAAAGACAACAGAAGAAGAAGAAGAAAAAAACAGCCGGCAGCCAAACCCCAATCCTCCCAATAAACCGAGCAAGAATGCCACACCTGGTATTTCCCACTGTGTGTCAACCTTAAGACCCACTGGAGGAGAAAGAACTTATGTAGGATAGAACTTAATCAGAGTGTTGCTGGTGGGAAAAATGTATTTTTTGAACAATGGATATACCCCTATTAACTGTGTAGTCAGAGAAATTTATCTGCATAGAATATAAAGTTGATTTCCTCCCCAACATTTAAATCTTTTGTAAGGTTTTTAAATAAAGGCAGATCCAGTCAAGTTTATGAGAACTTGGAGGAAAGCACTTGAAGATTTTACAGAAGTTAAAACTGGCTGCTGGGTGGGCGCTGTGCGTGTTATCTTCACACTCCCAAATGTGACTTTCACGTCTTCTGAGGTTGGAGGTGACTTGGTTAATGAGTGCTGTCTCTTGTTATTTTGGACACTTGGGCCTCAGAGTGGAACCCATCGCCTTTGGATCCTAGGGACCCTGTGCACTTGGTCATTCCATTGTGTTTCTTCATGCCTTTCTGTTTTTATGGTGCTGGGGATGCTGAGCCCACCCCCAGCCCGTCCATTGTATTTCTGAATGAAGGTACCCATAGACGTCCTGGGATCTTTTTCTCCTCTCTGGACTTTAATGTAGTCTAACACCCAGCCTTTCTAGAAGGAAAATACACAGATGGGGCTACAAAATGTCTTTGGAGTTTGATGCCAAAAACTTTCTGGGTGGGCCTTGAAGATTATTCCAGAATCTAACTGAATCACACATTCCCTGTTTGCCAGCTAGGCCCATATAGCCAACTGGACCCTGGTGGGATTTGCTTATTTATTTTGCTTTTAATTGACTTAAGACCATACAAGAAATTGTTTATAGTCAGTAACATCTTTCATTTCATTGCTTCTAGAACATTCTTAGGCATCAGCAACCTTAAGATCTAAATTGTTTGTCCTAAAATTTTTATGATTATGTGTGTTAGGTGCTTTTTGTCTGGGGTCCAGGGAGTTGTTGTTTTAATTACCTTGGGGAGAAGGGTGGGCAGAGGATTAGGTCAGAGGCTGAAGATGACACTGCTCTGCCAGGACTCTGTGGAAAGAAAGCTGGCTTTTGCAGGATGTGGCTGGGACTGCCATTGACTCTGTGGTTTTTCAGTGTACCCTGGAGCCACGCTTGGTGGAGGGACCCAGCTGACCCAGCTCTGGTGCCCTGTGTCTGAGAAATTCTGTTTTGGGCTGCAAGTGTCTGGAATACAGATTCGGGTCCTTCTGAAGATATGTCTGTTCTCTAGATGACCATATGGGGCTCACACTTTCTTGAATTTCATTCACTTGTGGAACCCATACTGGGGAAGTCTCTCTGTGGACATTGGACACACGTGACTTCTGGTGTGAAACATCCACTTATGTATTGTTCAGATACTGTAGACAAATCTACTTGCAGCTCAGGGTGGAAGTAACTGGGGGAGGGGCACATTAGTGGCTAACTCATCTTTCCTTCCAAATATCTGGCCATATCATACCAAATATTGCTTTGCAAATATTGTCCGTCGGCCTCTATATATCAGCCTCTACAAAGCTGAGCATCCCTGTTCTTGCCTCGGCTCCTCTTGCTGATGGCCACAGAGATGTCCTAGACAGTCCTTTGTAGCTGAGAGTGCAATCCCAGTATTCAGGAGGCAGAGGCAGGAGGATTGCTGCTATTTTGAGGCTAGCTCAGTTTATTATATTCCAGGTCAGCCAGGATTACATAGACCAGAAGCCAGGTTTAGCGCCACACAAGAGCCAGAGGCAGGCAGATCTCTTGAGTCTGAAGCCAGTCTGGTCTATATAGTAAGTTCCAGGTCTGTCAGTTATACATTGAGACCTCGTCTTGAGACAATAATAAGAAAAAAAGTTTAAAAAAAAAGATCTGCAATATATTTTCTAGCCTGACCAAATGTAGACTCTAAAGCCAGTTTTATAGTTTGATACACATAAACACACAAGATGCCTTCATTTTAATTTTTTTCATTTAATTCTTTCAGATAGGGTTTCCCATACCCTACTTAGGCTGGCCTTGAACTCGCTTAAGCAGCTGAGCCTGGCCTTAAACTTTTGCTCCCCCTGCCTCCACCTCCTGAGTGCAGGGATGGCGAGTGTGTGACGTCACACCCATTGTATGCGGTGATGAGGGTGGGACTGAGACAGTCTAGAGTCCAGCCCCAGAATGCCTTCATTCGAAATGGAAGAATGTCCACGGCAGAGTAGAATGTTACTTGACGTTCTAGTAGTAGAACTTCAGATGGTAAATGCATATATTTTACCTTGTTTGGTTGTATTTTTCTTTTTTTTAGGCATGGTCTCTTTACACAGCCTTGGCTGTCCCTGAACTCACAGAGATCCCCTGGCTTCTGCCTCCCGAGTGCAGGGATTAAAGGTGTGCGCCACCGTGCCTGGCATTGTTTGTATGCCTTCTTTCTTCCTTTTTTTTTTTTTAAATGTGTGCATCTTTTTTTAAATTTTTTATTTTTATTTTATTGTATGTGTTTTGTCACGCATGTCAGGTTCCCTGGAACTGGAGTTATTTATGGGCAGTTGTCTGCTGCCATGTGGGTGCTGGGAATTGAACTTGAGACCTCTGGAAGAGCAGTCAGTGCTCTTAACCAATGAGTCATCTCTCCAGCCCTGTTTGGATGTATTCTTAACCCCCACATAGTTCAAGATTTTTCTTTTTCTGTTTCCATTCTGTGCAAGGATGCAGCTTTTTGGCCTCCCTTCCTCCATCTCTTTTCTATGTGGAAAGATGTATTTTTGTACCTCATTTCATGCCTTATCTTCGGGGCTGTGTACAGCTCCCCCTCACTGAATAACATGGTAAAGAGACATTTGATGGCAGCTACTGTGGGGTCTGTTATAAAGAGTCCGGCTGGCAACATGACTCATTGGGGGAAGGTACGTGCCACCAAGTCTAAGTTTGATTCCCGGGACCCACACCACGAAGAAGACAGGTAGCTCCCACAGGTTTTCCTCTGACCTTTGCATACAGGCCATGGTTTGCCATCCCTCCCCCCAAATGAATACATGTATAATTTTTTTAAATGAAAGGAAGATGGGGTCAGGGTTTGAACTGTCTGAAAGTCAAGCGTTAATTCCCTGATGTTTCTTTCTCACTTTAAGTACTAGCTTTACCAAAACAAGGGGAGGATTGAGGATTTAGGTGATCGCATTCAGGTTGGTGGTTTTTTGTTTTTGTTGTTTGTTTGTTTTGTTTTTAGTGAGGGTTGGGTTGGTGATTTATTTTATTTTCATTTTTTTCCCCCTAAGACAGGGTTTCTCTGTGTGGCTCTGGCTGTCCTGGAGCTCGCTTTGCGGACCAGGCTAGCCTCGAACTCACAGAAATTCTGCCTCTGCCTCCAGAGTGCTAGGATTAAAGGCGTGTGCCACCACTCTGCCCTTCAGGGTTGGTGATTTGTGATGCTGGTGTTTTATTTTGAACTTTTTATTTTATGTGTGTAGGTATTTTGTCTACATGTATGTCTGTGTATCTACTACATACATACCTGAGGCGAGAAGAGGGTGTCAGATCCCCTGGAATTGGAGTTACCATTGTCAGCCGCCATTGTGGATGCTGTAAATCAAACCCAGGTCCTCTGGAAGAACAGTCAGTGTTCTAACCACTGAGTAGTCTCATAGTCTCTTGGTTTTTGTTTTGTTTTGTTTTTCAGAGATGGTTTCTCTTTGTAGCCCTGGTTCTCCTGGAACTTGCTCTGTAGACAGGCTGGCCTTGAACTCACAGAGTGAGTTTCCAAGTGTTGCTGGGATTAAAGGCACACATCACCACCATTGCTGCTACCACCCAGCTAGTTTTGGTTTTCTAAGATGGTTCTCTCGTAGCCCTGGCTGGTCTCAAACATACTATGTAGCTGAGAATGACTTTGAACCTGCTGATCCTGCTTCCCCCCCTCCGAGTGCTAGGATTAGAGACATGTGCCACCACGCCTGGTTTATGAAGTGCTGGGGATGGAACCTGGTGCCTCCTACATGCTACATAAGCACTCTACCAAACCAGCTCAGGCATCCATCCCACCCAGGCCTGTGGTCAATGTTTATGTAGCGGTTCTTTCCTGTACTTGTCAGGAGACTGACTGGTAACAGTGCAGCGAGTAGACACGTGTTCCAAACATGCTTTCATCTCTCACATCTATTGTCCTTTGGGTCCTTTACTGAGCCTTGGCTTTCTTTCTGCTGGCAATAAAGTGTGGAAAAGAATGTCTTCACTGCTGGCCTTGTGACTCATGATGGGGTCTTCCATTCTAAAAGCGACCCAGGGACATTCCTGAGAGGCAGCTTGGAAATGAGGCTCGACAGTCACAAGGGCCATCAGTAGAGATGGGGACTTTGGATGGCCTTTGTGACTGCCAGGTAAGCAGCCAGGAGAGCATGTCCTTCCTAGGTACCTTGTGAGAACCTCCAAGGGAGGTCTATGCTCGAAGCATTGTTATATATGGCCTTGGCACACCCATGCTGGGCCAATGACTTGGAAATAGTATGGTCGGGAAGCCAGAGGTGGTTACAGTCCCAGAACCCTGGAGATAGAAAGGTGGTGAGTTCAAACCCATCCTGGGTTATATGGCAAGATCCTGTCTCAACAAACACATACACTTTGTTCAAGAGTCAGCACAGTATCTAAAGTTGTGGGCTCTACCTACATCTTGTGGTTGGTGAGCAGTCTGAAGTGCTTCCTTTCAGTGCCCATAGTACTTTGTTTTGTTCTGAGACAGGGTCTTATTCTAGCCCAGGCTAGACTCGAACTCACAAGAGATCCGCCTACTTCTGCCTCCCAAGTGCTGGGATTAAAGGTGTGCATCACCATGCCCAGCATCCCAGTGGGTTTTGAATCACCCAATTCCACCAGAAAGCCAGCATTGGTGTGCACTTGTAGCTACATGGGACTTTCCAGTGCGCTCCTCCCAGCCTTCTTTACTTTCGGGTCCTGGGCACATGAGCTCTACTCCAAGCATGCAAGCTGCTCTCCGAAACAACCTATGACCATTCTGCAATGTTTTTGTTGATCACCATTTAAGTACTTGGACTTTGGGCTCCCCACCTGTGAATTGTAGAATTACATATCTATATTTTGTGGGTTCTAACCCAATACACTGGACAGCTGCCGGTGATGTGTCCTGACTGGCATCAGCAAGCTTCAGTCTGTCGCATCCTTCTGTGTTTTGCCCTTTGGTGATCCCTCCATAGCTAGGACAGACACAGAGAACCTGTTTTTCTGTCCTGGTGGCACAAGG